CCTAATACCTTTTAAGCGCTTGATGGCCTCCATATTAGAGAGAGACAAAAGGTCGACCGTGTTGTTGGGCTGAGAACGAGTGCCAGCAGGGTCTTCACAATGCTGCTGTTGCAGCTGTCTCTCGTGTTGGCGCTCGATGTGTTGCCGGATTGCGTCATCCAGACGCTGGCGAAGCAGTTGTAGATCAAGATAGTTTGCCAGATTGGCCGGAGAGCTGAGCATTGCCCGTACAGAGGCGCCGAGACGACGTAGTGTAGCGTCATGCTCTTCATCCTCGGGTTGAATGTCGCCACCAGCCTCTAAGGCCAGTAGGCCGGCAACCCGGTCGTTCGAGGTCACAGTTGCCGGGGCTAGAGGCCTTTTCGAGTCAGCTGAAGCTGGCCCTGAGGCCGATGTCCGGGGCGGTCTTGTACTAAACGGCAGGAGGCTTCGCGTGGAGCCGTCGGAACCTTCGAGAGTAGCTGGGACGCAAGAGGCTGAATGAAGCATCTTCTGCATTTGCAAAGACTTTGTTATCTGTTTTTGACTGTTCCAAGTGAGGGAAAATTATCAATTCATATAAAGAGACCTGAAAAACGTTCTATATACTAAGAAAAACGCAATACGAAAACAACGTTTTAGGAAAAATCCTAAAATGGGAGAATAAAAATGTCAATGAATGCCAAATAATAAAATAACTTGATTCATTATAGAGGTTGTATGACCTTGTTTTCGCAATTCGTTCATATTGGTAGGAAGACTTAGATGAAGGCAGCAAGTCGGAGTCCATCGTATGCATGAGCATTTCAAGAGTAGTTCCGTGGAAGTAGAACATTCCCAGACGTTGCGTGCCAGCCCACAAACTTTATGGTTCAACATTGAACCTAATCAAAGCAAGCAGTACCACAACATTTATTGGTTGGCAGATAAGAGACTGGGGCATAAGAAGTCATAGACTTGGTATTAGGGATAGAGTCAGGATAGACGAGGAGGAGACTGGAGCTTGTTGGCTGAAAGTAGGTCTGTCTTTACCATAGACCTGGTCCATGTAGCAAGAGCTTGACCATGAGACTTACTCAGAAGCTTTAGCCTCGAATTAGTCACCCAGACGCAGGGTAGGGATAATAACGCCTCGGATGGCGCAGATGGGGTGGCAGGGGTCGAATGAAATACGTGAACCAGGGAGAGAGCAGACGGATCTTACGGGGCAAGAGAGAGACGGTGATAAGACTTATGGAAGTAGGTCTGTCCTAACAATATGGCTGACTCTGATCAACATTTCCAGCACAAGATTGAAGGGGGTGAGTGGAGTGTGAAGCGTTTTCATGAATACCGCTCAAAGGAGCACATCACACTACATCGAAATAAGCACAGTACAAATTGTAACAGTAAAGGTGTGATAGGAGTATATAGAAAATCTGAATAGCCCAAGTCAAAAT